TTTCCAGAGAACCTATAGATAATCTTACCCCTGAGGAGAGGGATGCTCGAACAGTGTTCTGCATGCAGCTGGCTGCCAGAATTCGACCAAGAGACCTGGAAGAATTTTTCTCTACAGTAGGGAAGGTAATTCATAGGGAGCTTAAAATTATTCTGAGGTTTTCTCTAGTTGGTGAAAGGGGGATAAATGGTTACCAACTAATTCTCAAGGGCTTGGAACATGAAAATGTAATTTTTCAGGGGTTTATTGTTCAGCATGTGAGGTGGTGCAAGACATGGCAATGCAGTTCTCGTTCAAATTACTTCATTTTTCAGAAGTTTCAGCCTTTAGCAGATAAGTCTGCCAAGTTAAAGTGTGATTTAAAAATTGGCCTAATCTTTAATTTTGAAAAACTTTTCCTGTTCCACCAGCTGTAAAGTTCTGGCTTAGAGCAGTGCTGCAGGATTCTGTTCCCCTTTGCTGGGGCACACTACTGATGACTTGGAATACCAGTTGTTGAGGCCAGCTTGCCTCTTGGAAAGCTGTGTTGAGGGAACTTCATGTTCCTCCAGATCTGCAGCAGAATTACAAAGCCACTGGTTTGGCAAATCATGGTCTGGGTTTTAGTGCCTTTCTGAGAAATGAGCTGCATGAATTAGGTTGTTTCCTGCATCTCTAACAGCGTTTCTGTGCTCACCTTGCAGGTCCGTGACGTGCGGATGATTTCAGATCGAAATTCCAGGCGTTCAAAGGGAATTGCTTATGTAGAGTTTGTTGATGTTAGTTCAGTGCCTCTGGCAATAGGACTGACTGGGCAGAGAGTCCTGGGTGTGCCAATCATAGTGCAGGCATCACAGGTAAGGAGCTGTAACCTCCATGTGTTCATGCTGAGCAGGGCTGGAAAACCTACTGTTAAAAATTCGGTTACTGTTGAACATGTGGAAAATCTTAATAGGAATTCTTATTTAAGCCAATGATAAATGGGCCTTTGTTTCCCATGGCTGACAGGTGAATTAAAGCAGTTAAAAGTTACATAAATGCAATTTGAAAATACAGATGCTAATTAAGAAAGTTGCAATAATGAAACTATACTGTTAACATAATTGTATATTATGTATTATTTCCAGCATGTGTAAGAAGTAAAGTGTTATTTTACTAGATATAGGCCAGAATTCTGCATGAAATTGTTCGGTTTGAGGGCTTTTGGAAGCCTTGTCTTTGTACTTGGTCATAGTCTTGAATTTTATAGATTTTAAGTTACAGTCTGGATATTGTACAGCTGCTGTTTTGGAGCTAATCTGCTGATTTTAATCTATTGTATTTATACTGCTTATGTTAGGGGATTTTATTAACTTCTTACTGAAGGTGAGCTTTTCTTTTTTCTAGGCAGAGAAAAACAGAGCAGCAGCAATGGCAAATAATCTGCAGAAGGGCAGTGCTGGCCCTATGAGGCTCTATGTGGGATCTTTACACTTCAACATCACTGAAGATATGCTTCGAGGAATTTTTGAGCCATTTGGCAGGGTAAATTTTAATGTGGTGTGTTGTGTTATGATAGTTTACCTGAAAACCTGGATTAGTTTTAGGATGTTCTCAGCTTTTGGAAATAATTCACCTTGACACCTGCACTTTTGTTTCATTTTCTGACTTTTGTGTGTCTGTACATTCACAGGGCTCTAAGTACGTGGTTTGTATTGGAGAACAAATAAGAAGCTTGATTTGTGGGTTTGAATGGCAGGGCTTAGGAGGGAAAGCTGAGAATTCAGTGAGTACCTAAAATAACAAACCAGAACAACCAAAAAAACCCAAACAAAAATCCTTCTATCCTGCCTCTGCAGCTTATAAATATCTTCCTCCTTTTGTGTTTGTGACCGAGAGCTGTACTTCACAGGTTACAGCACAAAGCCCAGAGGCAGGTCTGAGCTCTGTTCAGTGTGAATTTAGTAGTTTCATCTGGTTTGGAGGATTTTTGCTCAAGTTTTAACTCGCATTCCTACCATGAAGGAGCAGCGCGTCCATACAGCTCTGACCCTGCCCCTTCTCTCTCCTGCTCCGTGGTTCCCAAGGTGCAACATGGCAGTTGTCTTTTGCAGAGAGAGTTGTGGAAGTGAGCAGATCAAATCTGATGTTTCCAGTGGAGTCATAATAAATGCAGGCCCTGTTGTGCTAAGGTCTCCTGGGAAAAAGTAATTTGCTTGATATGTTCATACTTAATGGGGGGGAAGTAAAAAGTTTTCAGGTCCTTTGACTGTATTTGACCATCAGCCTTGCCTCTTACATCCTGTAACAGTGCTTTTCAGCTGCATTACTCAGATTCAGGATGTGTATCCCTTTAATTCTCCTCTGCAAAAGCCTGGAAAATGGCAGCAATTTCAGTCTGGACAGCTGTTCTTGTTTTGTCTCAAAGTCTGGCAGTAGGCTTAGTGTTGATTAGGAGGCTTATGTGTAGAGCTGTGAAGGTTTTTCCTTCTCCTGTTTCCATATTCTCCAGTCTTAAACTCTGTTCCTCCTCTTCTGTGTTGTCTCTTCCCAGCACTACTTTATGGCTCATGGATGACTCACTAATATGTATTAAATTCGGCACTTGTAACCTTCCAGGAGTCCCATATGCCAGTAATGATTTCAAATGTGCCAGTTTTTCTCAAAGCCCTTAGTTGAAGTCATGCAGACTGCTTTTCTTACCTTGTGAAATGGATTTCCTCAGGGAGTGAGATGCCACGACTGTAAAGTTTCAGTTGGGATGTGAGATTGTCTGCATGCTCATTTTCTGTCAGTGTTACATTATGACCCAGGGTCTGCCTGTAGCTGGACTTGGACTCAGGGGATAAACTTTATGCACCTTATGTTTACCTGCTTCTCTTTTAGTTTCCTAGTACATACCCAGCTGCCTGTACACTGATTTTGTCAAGGAAGGAATGAGGAGTTGATGAAAAAAAAAACTGTTTCACATTCATAAATGTATATTTAGCAGGGCTGTATTCAGGTTTTGGTTTAGTATCTTGTGGTTTGTTCCAAAATGTCTGATCATAAATATCTTGCTTCTTATTTTTAGATTGAAAGCATTCAGCTGATGATGGATAGTGAAACTGGACGCTCAAAAGGATATGGATTTATCACGGTATGATTGAAGTTGCCAGACTAGTTGGACAATTTCTGAGCATAACCCTCCCGTGTAGCAATGCAGCTTACTCAGCAGTTGTTAAGTCTCAGCTTGGAGATGTGTTGCAGGATGTGCAACAATGGGCTCTGTCTTTGTTCCTACCAGTTCTCTGTGGGTTCAGGGT